AGTTTTAAAAACCAAGTGCAAATAAATAAATAAACAAACAAACCAAGTGCAGACAAAGTAGTGAAGCCCCTGGAACTCTTTACTACACTCCTGGTAGAAATGTTAAATGGTACAACCACGTGGGAAAACAGTTTGGCTGTTTCTTTAAAAATTAAACATGAACTTCACAGGTGACCCATTTACCCAAGAGAAATGAAAGTGTATGTCCACAGAAAGACATGCACACCAACGTTCCTGCAGGTTTATTTGTATTAACCAAGAACTAGAAACCACCCATATGCTGCGGACTGAGCATACAACAATGGGACATTACTTGGAAGGATGGGAGGCTACAGAATTACTCTGGATGAAAGAATCCTGACAAAAGACAAAACAATCTATGGTGACTCAAAGCAGATCCGCTGGTCGTTGCCTGGAACCTGGGGGCACAGGAAGGCACAGGAGAGGTGGATTCTAGAAGCAGGAGACTTCACGGGGCAGTGGTTACACCCATCCTCCTGATTGTGGCAATAGCTTCATGGGCGTGTGCATCCACCAAAACTTGTGCATCCACCAAAACTCATCAAACTGTACACTTAAAGTATATTAACCTATTGAATGTCAATTATACCTTAACAAAACTGCTTATTAAAAAAAAGAAAAAAAAAAGATGGCTGGGGAAAAAAAAAGACACCACAAAGACCGGTGGATAAAATACTTATATATAGCCAACAATGGATTAGGGATCTATAAAGGAATAGACAATATACAAGGAACACCTACAAATCAGTAAGAGAAAGACAAACCACTCTATGGACATTTGGTAAAAGACTCAAACAGATTTCACAAAGGAAAAAACATAAACCACCTATAAACGTGACAGGATGCTCAACTTCAATCACAACACACAAAACCACGAGGAACCGCACCTCACCCACCAGGTTGGTAAAAATAGACCCTGCCCAACACCAAGGTGTCCGTGAACATTCAAAGCACTGTGCCAGGGGCAACTGCCCAGGGAACCGGTCTGGCATCATCCAGGAAGGTGGATCACGGGAGGGCTCCGTGACTGTATCACACTCCGGATACAGACCTTGCAGGAAGCGCTCAGAGAAAGTTGTGAGAACACACCTGTGTGAGTCCATCTCAATTATTAAGTACAACAGGCAAAAACACACAGTATGTTGCTAAGAAGTGTACTAAGCGGTAAGAAGACAGAGAAAAGGAAAGGAGCCAGTCAGCAAATTTCAGCAGCACTAACTTGCAGGGCTGGAGGGAAGGAGCACGAAGATCTCTAAGTTAACTGCTAGTGCTGATTCCTAAGTTGGGTGCCGCGGGTACAGATGTCCATTCACTTTTCATCTGAACATACACATTTACTCTTACACAATTCCCTTCATAATAAAGAGTTGTTATGAGAAGCTCAAAAGACATATTGCCAGGAAAGAGGACAGTAACCGGAAGGACACGTGGAGTCCGGGGGTTCAGGGGAGGTTTCTCCAGGGGGGAGCAGGGCATGAGTGCTGGGGGTGCTGCCCAGGGGAGACATGCGCCCATGACCCGGCCAGTCGGGTTGGCAGTGCAGGGGACTGATGAACTGAGAGGCAGGGGTCATCGCCAGGACTTTGGCTCTTGCCGCCAAGAAGGGTCCTGGGCAGAGGGACGTGACCTGACGAGCTTTAATGGCATCTTCTGCTGTGCTGAGGACAGAACAAAGTGGGACAAGAGCAGAAGCAGAAAACCTATCAGGACTGTCCCGGCAGTCATCCAGGCCACAGGTGAGTGGCATGGACCAGTGTGGGTCTCCAGGACGACAGGTGACATGTGAATATAAAACAAAAGGAGTCATCAAGGGCAAATCTAAGGTTTTAAGCCCAAAAAACTGGAGGGCTGTGGCGGGAAGCAACTGAGACACAGACACTGTGGGAGCAGCACTGCGAAGGGAGGAGCAGGTGCCCAGTTCTGCACGTTCACATCCGAGGCTACTCCACATGGCACGAGGCTGCGTGTGTCCCCCAGAATCTGTGCGTGGGACCTTGTCTGCGCATGCGCTCCAGGAAAAATGGGGTCACACTGGACTGGGGTGAGTCCTACCACTGACTGGCACCTCCCTCGGGGAAGACAGCCAAGCCACGACGACTGGCTGAGATGGGAGTTACACGGACCCCAGCCAAGGAACAGCAGGAACTCCTGGCAACCACCAGGAGCTGCAAGAGGCCAGGATGGATTCTTCCCGAAAGCCCCCAGGGTGTGGCCGTGCCGAGAGGCGACCTGGACCTGGGCCTTCCTGGACCTGGGCCTTCGGGCCTCCAGACAGAGAGACAACAAACTTCTGTTTTGTTAAGCCACTCGGCCTGCGCTCCTTTGTTAAAGGAGACCCCCCCAAACCAATACCTAACTCTATTTTTGACACTTCTCGGAAAGGCCGGATGCTGTGTGACAAGAAAACGTCAAGAAAAGATCCCATTTAAAATACATTAGTTCTGGGGCGCCTGGGTGGCTCAAACGTTGAGTGTCTGCCTTTGGCTCGGGTCATGATCTCCGGGTCCTGGGATCGAGTCAGGCTCCCTGCTCAGGGGAGAGTCTGCTTCTCCCTCTGCCTCCGCTCCTGTGCTTGCTCGCTTTCTCTAACAAATATATAAAATCTTTGAAAAATAAAACAAAATATATCGGTTTAGGACAGCTGGGTGGTCCAGTCAGTTAACTGTCCAACTCTTGATCTCAGTTCAGGTCTCGATCACAGGGTCAAAAGTTCAAGCCCCGCACTGAGTTCCATGCTGGATGTGGAGCCTACTTTAAAATAATTTTAAAAATTAAAAAAAAAAAAAAAATCTCAGTTCTTTTTCTAACACCTTTTTCCTGGTCCTAAGAACGTAGGCAAATCATTTTGCCTTTATTACTCAATTTCCTGCAAAATGTGAAAAACCAGAGGCTGAACAGAATCCTAGCCAAGGTTCTACCAGCACCCCTAAATTTCTACATTTCTGGGACTGTTCCCCAACATGAAAAGTATCCCTGAACCCTATCCCAATAATCTACTGAAGTACATTTCAGGGATGCCTGGGGGGCTCAGTGGTTGAGCGTCTGCCTTCAGCTCAGGGTGTGACCCTGCAGTCCCGGGATCCAGTCCCATGGGGCTCCCCGCAGGGAGCCTGCTTCTCCCTCTGCCTGTGTCTCTGCCTCTCCCTCTGTTTCTCATGAATAAATAAAGAAACCCTGTTTCATAGAGAGATTGTTTCTATAAAGTCCACATTTACAATGGATATGTCACCCATATGGTAAGACAAACTAGAGGCTAATTCACAAAAGATGAGGATCATGAAATGGAATCTTATGTTTCTAAGATACAGCAACAACAGAACTCCCCTCAGACACACACAGTTTCCATTCTCTACTGCCGTCACAAATTCAATGGCTTAAAACACCACCCACTGATGACCTTACAGTTTCCATATGTCAGAAGAGGGAGGTAGTTCTCTGCCTCGAGTCTTACAAGGCAATCAAGGCAGGTGTCCCCCCAAACTCATTCAGGCTCCAGGCAGAACCCGGGTCCCTGCCGCTGTGGGACGGAGGCTCCAGGATCCCGACCGCCAGCACCCAGCAGTCAGTCCCAGGTGCCGTGGGCCACCCCGTGCTTCTGTTCCTGGCCACGTGTGCATCCTCCCAGCCAGCCACAGCAGGGGAGCCTCCCCTCCCGCCTCGCCTCGCCTCGCCTCGCCTCGCCTCGCCTCGCCTCGCCTCGCCTCTCCTGCCTTCCTCCACGGTCTCAGCTCCTCCTGTGACTTTGGGGTCAGACCCCAACGACCCAGGCTAATCTCCCTCCCTGTAAGTCAGCTCTCCCGGAACCTGTGCCTTACGCCTTTCACAGCGGCGCTGGATTTGCGTGCGTCTGATGGGATGAGTAGGGGCCAGCAAGCCGAGGCGAGGGGGGCATCTTCAGGGCTGTGGCTTCCACATATACCCCAGAATGCCACACAAAAACATGTAAGAATGCCTACGTCACACTTCTGCGATACAGACTTGGAAGTCAGGTGTCATCTGCAACTTACTACTGCAGACCTACAGCAGGACTGGACTCACAGAGGAGGTTTTTGTAACCACGGTAAAAGGGAAAGCAATCTCTGCTACTGCGAACATCCTCAGGAAATGCAGTTCGACAACGGGGAGTCTGTACCCAAGCAGCGGCCTGGACCTGATTCCCCTCGAGGCTGAATCGATTCCTTCCCCGCAGACGCAGACGGGAGAGAGCAGAGCCTGGCGGCAGTCTGGAAGGGAAGCCGGGCTAGGGCTCCGCGACCGGCACAGTCTGGAAACACCCAGCGGGACGGCAGGGACGGCAGGGACGGCAGGGACGGCAGGTGCCCCTGCACTACCGCCCCAGCCAGGCTTCCCAGGAGGCAGAGGACCCTGCCCGCGGCCGCCCCGCCCTTGCCCACGCTCTGCCCCTACCAGAGGGCACTGGGCGGGGCAGTAGGTGACCAACCATCTCCTCTAAGGGGCCCGCATCCCCGCCGCCGGCGTCTGCTCCTGCCAGACACGGACGCCCCCCGAGCCGCACCCATCTGCCGAGGGACCGAGCTCCGTGCACACCCACCAGTCTTTTTCGTTTCCTTCCGACTTCCCTCAAAGCCTGCCCAGCGCCGCGGTACCAGCAGCAGCCTGCAGAGCCCAGAGCCACCCTCGGCGCCCTGAAAGGCAGGACCTCCGCCCAGCGGAGCCAGGGCCCGGTCGAGGCAGGCGGCGGCCCAAGCAGCCCGAGCAGCCGCCTGTGGCCCGGTCCGGCTCTGAGCCCCCCCCCCCCTCCGGCAGCTCCTCCAAGGGAACGTCCCGCTGGAAAAAGGCAGGACACAGGACGTCCCGGGCTTTGGCCCCCCCCTTGCTTCCCCAAGTAGCCCAACACGCTGCTGGCTCGGAAGCTGCGCGGGTCCCCGAGCTCGGCCCTGGGAGGGGCGGCGGCGGGCGGGCGGCGGGCGGGCGGCGGCGGCGGGCGGGCGGCCCTACTAGGCAGAGGCCCCTCTGACCTTCCACCTCGGATGCATCCCAATGTGCGGCTTCTGTTTCGGGCATTTTTGGCTTTAACTTCTCGGCGGCCGCTGGGACCCCCCAGGGGTCCCCCGCCGCCCCTCGGCCGCCCTGTCCTCCCGCTGGCGGGGGCGGAGGGGGGCGGCCCACCCGCCGCAGCCGCAGCCGCAGCCGCAGCCGCAGCCGCAGCCCGGGGCCAGCCCCCCGGCCCGCTCCGACCCGGGGTGTGACGCGGGGCCGCCGGGCCCCCAGTGAGGACCAGGCCGGGAGGAGGGCCGCGGCGGACGGGGTGGCCGAGGGTCACGGGGTCAGGGGTCAGGGCAGGGGACCAGGCGCGGGGATGGGGGCGGGGCGGGGGCGGGGGGTCGGGAGGAGCCGGGGCCGGGGCGCGGGCGGGAGGCGGGAGGCGGGGGGGCGGGGGGCGGGGGGCGGCGCGGGCGCGCACTCACGCTTGTACTCGGCCATCAGCCTCTTGAGCGCCGTCCCCGCCATCGTCCGGGCAGCAGCCGAGCGGTCCGCCGGCCCCGAGCGCGCTCGCTCCCGCCCGCCGCAGGGCCGCTTCCGGGTCGCCGCGGGCGCAGAAGCCCTTCCGGGGCGCGGGACGCGGGGGCGCCTGCGCGGTGGGGCGGGCGGCGAGGGGCTGCGCAGGCGCGGTGGCCGCGACGTCCCGCCCGCGGGGTCCCCGAGGCAGCGGCTCCCCGGCGCCGGGCCCTTGCCGCTGAGCCGCCGGCGGGGACGCGGGCCCGGGCCGGACGGTCATGCGGGCACCGGGGCGGGGGCCGCGAGGATCGGGGTCCGCCGCCTGTTACATCACGGGGGGTGGGGGGGGACCAGGGAGGGAGACGGAGGACGGGCCCGGGGACGGGGGGCGGGACGCCGGGGCAGGACGCGGCCTGAGGCGGTGGCCTGAGGGGCGGCTGGGCTGCCGGGAGCGGGTCGCACTGATGCTGCGTAGTTTCAGGTCACATCCCCGTGAGTGGGGGCGGGGCGGGAGCATGGAGATCCCGCGGGCTGCCGGGGGGGGGGGGGGGGGGGCGGGGCTCAGCGGGGCGGCGCCGCCTCCGCCCAGGGCGTGCCCCGGGGCCCGGATCGAGCCCGCCCCTCCCTGTGCCCGGGTCTCGGCCCCCCTCCCCCCTCCCCTTCCCTCCCCCTCCGCCCCCCTCCCCCCCCCCTCTGTGCTTCTCATGAACAAGTAAAAATGTTAAAAGGCTGAAGACCCCGCTTGCCGGTTCCGGTGCACGCTCCGCCCAGGGCAGTCGAGGCCGGAAGGTGCGGGAAGCAGGTGCCTGACGTCCCTGCGCACCTGCAGGCGGACCGGCCTGCGGCCTGCGGACAATCTCCGCCTCCTCAAAGGTGCAAAGCGGCAAAGGCCTGCCTTTGCCGTGCGCTCACCTGCTGCCCAGGTGAGGGGAGGGCCTGGGTCCTGCAGCGACCCCCCCCACCCCCCACCCCCGGGCTCCCTGCCTCTCTGGCCGGTCAGCGGCGGGGAGCAGTGGCCGCCGGGTCCCCTGTAGTGTTACGGTGGCTCCGTCCCCGCTGACCCCCGGACCTGGGATGTGCTGGTGCTTCTCAGAACCCCGGTGTGACCCCGGGGCGTGCTCTGCAGCTCAGCTCCGCCACACAAGCACCTGTGCACCGTTACAAGAGTCCTCAGCTCCGGGACGGTCACGTGCCACCTGCGGCCTCCATACCCTCCCACCGATCCGCCCTATGATGTTCTGTAGACTCTATCCGCGTCCTTGGTTTGTTATCATGTGCGTCCTGCGTCCTGCAACCTGAAAACCCGACCCGACCCCGAGGGCAAGGAGCGGCTCCTGCTCGAGGGCGAGGGCGAGGGCGAGGGCGAGGGCGAGGATGCTGCTCCAGTACAGCCAGCAGGCGGCATCTGCTGAACTGGGTCACATTTAAGGGGGCAGCAAACCGGGCGGGCGGGGACACTCAAGCCTTCGGCCCAGGGCATGACCCGGAGGCCAGGGTGGAGCCCACGGCCCTCCCCGCAGGGCGCCTGCTCCTCCCTCTGCCTGTGTCTCTGCCTCTCTCTGTGTGTCTCAGGAATAAATGAACAAAATCTTAAAAAACAAAAAACAACGCAAAGCAGCCTCCGAGGTCTGCGTCTGTCAGGGCAGAGGCCTAGAGAACCGTGGTCCAGTGCTGACTTCACGGAAGTGAGTGGGATGCAGTGCACAAAGGAAGAGTCTTGAGGTTCGAACAGCAAAAACCTTGAGAAGCCCAGACTAACTAACGTGCGCATTCACGCGCCCCCACAACGCGCCCCCTGTACCCGGGACCCCAGGAGAGGCGAGGTCGTGATGCCCGGTGGGCACAGCCAAGGCCAGGGCACTGCAGCGGATGCGGCCGTGGGCAGGAAACCCAGGCCTGGCACGGGTGGCCTGCGGCATGCAGAGGGTCCAGGGACATACCTACTCCTCCCCACCCGGGCTCAGGATGCCAGTGGCCGCCCCAGTGGCTGGCCCGGACGCGGAACGGGGACGGTCCGCCCCCTCGGCCACACGCAGCGTGTAATCCAAGCCCAGAGACAGAATAGCAAACTATATTTACTGTTTACAGTAGCAAAGGACAACAAATCGTGTACAAATTGGTGAATACACAGAACAGAGCCAGCCGACCTCCCACCCTCGCCCGGACAGCAGAACACAAAGGAAACGCAAAGGCCTTCGGCAAGATTTCAGGCAGGTGAGGGACGCTGTCGCGGTCCGCTCGGGGACTAGGACCGGCGGCAGTGGGCGTGCACGCAGCAGCAGGAGAAGCAGCTGTGTAACTGGTAGAGAACGAAACCCCGTCCTAAAGCGTACACCCCACACCTACTGGGAAAGCAGCGCAGCCCACGTCCACGAGGGCAACGCCAAGTCACCGCTGCAGGGGCTCCACCGCCAACACACTCTGAGGCAGGTCTTCCACGCAAAAACAGCTGCAAACTCAGCAGTGCTGAATCCGGATTTTGTATAGAGGCCTTAACTGCCCAGAGGAGAAACGGGCGGCCACGGCCCCAGGGCCCAGTGAGACGCGTGGGGGTGGCTTCCTTCTCCGTCGGGGCCAAGGGTCTGAAAGACCTGCTTATTTTCCTTTTCACCTTTTAAAAGGCCTTCCAGTATTTTCCCTCTGACTTTACTCTTTCCTGAAATGCAGTATTTACCATTTCAAATACCTGTGCCTGTATGACATCGTGAAAGATTGTTTCCCATCCCCAAACCGGCCCCAAAACTCATCCAACGGAAGCAGCCCCACGCTGTGGTGCCGTGAGGTCTCCACTGGAATAAACAGTGGGGTGGGGGTGGGGGTGGGGGGTCAACACCTGGGGTCAGATCCCCATCTAGACTAAAAGTGGACATTCACACCACACATTTGGGGGCAAAAGTTAGAGGGACGAAAAAACAAAAATGAAAGCAAACGAACCCCAAAACCCTCACCACTCCTTTCCCCCCAACAAAGACAAGTGTGACTGGCCTGACTTCAGCTGTGGGCGCCCTCCCCCCGCAGAGTTCTGAGTTGCCCTTGCAAAACGTCAGAGAGGAAAGCAATTCTGGTGACTGTCCTCGGGTTTGCGCAGACTCCTCTGTGATTGGCATGGTCACGGGTTCACTATTCCACAGCAGGTGCGAGCACGAGGACACGTGGGGACGGTCCCTGCAGAGGCGGCACCCTTAGGGCCAGCCGCTCTCCCGTGCGCCTCCCGTCTGCTGCTGGAACACATCGATGGTGTCCTCGTCCTCCATCTCCAGCTGGCGGGGGTGCGGCGGCGAGAGAGGGAGAGCAGTTAGTTTCCTGGGATCCCAGAAGGCGCGATGCTCACCTGGACGACTCCGAAGGTTCACTGCGCTGTTCCCCGCCCCCCCCCCCCGCCACCCCGGGAACGCCATCCCCACCACACCTGTCCTCAGGTGCACCGTGCCGGGACAGCGCTCGGCTCGGATTTCCAACAAGCCCGTTCACCCACCAAGATGCCCCTCACAGAACTCACAAAAGGATATTCGGAGCCAAGGACTCGGATAGGAAAGCAGCCTCTGGGGCGCCTGCCTGGCTCAGTCTTAAAGAATGAGACTCGTGAGCTCAGGGTCATGAGTTCAAGCCCCACACTAGGTATACAGATGACTTAAAGAATAATAAAACCTTTACAAAGAAAAAATGAGTCTCATTAAAAAACAAGGATCGAAAATTTTTACCAAACTTTACACAGAATCGTGTTCCACTGAGGAGCACGTAACGGATGGCGGGGACTCTTCGTGACAAGTGCAGGGGTCGTGCCCGTGGACTCCAAAGCGAGCCCTGTCACACAAGGAGGATGTGCTAAAGCGAGGGACACGCTGGCTCTGCCCACTGCACCCCTTCCTGCCCTTCACGCCCACGGCAGGGATGGTGCAAACAGCTTTCTCTTTCTGGCACAGGGAGCACACGTCTACCCTGATCTCTGTCCATCCTCTGAACAAAAGAAAGCTTCTCTGCCGATTCAGACTAGAGGCTGGAAGCAGTCCCGGGTCCCAGGGACGTTCTCAGAGGGGACAGGAGTAGGGCTGGGAGGGCAGGGCCCCTCCCCGGCTCAGACACCCTGGGCAGCAGCCAGATGACGGGCAGGAGGGGGAGCCTGGGTGCCCCTCCACCCCCCCAGCCCCCAGGAAACCCCTGCAGCCCAGCGCCCACGTGAGCAGGGTGAGGGTCCCCAGGGCGGCACACACGCCCTCCCCCCGCAGCCCAGAGTCCATGTGAGCTGGGTGAGAGTCACCAGAGCAACACACACAGCCTGCCCCCTCCCCCCTGCAGCCCAGAGCCTGCGTGAGCAGGGTGAGGGTCCCCAGGGTGGCACACCCTGCCTCTTGCTGCGTGGTGCTGTCACGTGAAGTGATCAGACTGATGCTCACAGCTCCGTGCAGGACAGAAACAGGCGTCCCCCCCACTTTACCGACCGAGAAGACGGAGGCTCGAGGGTGGGTGGCTCTGGATCACGAGGCCACCCGGCCGACAACGGCCGCAGCCCCACTGAACTCGGCCTCCTGCTCCAGGCCCGAAGCCCCGTCGCCCCAGCGTGAAGCGCAGCAACGGGGCGGGCGTGTGGTGGGCAGCAAGCAAACACCGCGGGACTGAGGATGACGGCCCGTCCCTTCCGCCCACAGCCCTCGTGCGTAAATCCTGAAGGGCACAAGATCGGGCCAGCGATGTGGCTGCAATCCGGTGTCCAGATCCGAGGGGTGGGCGCCGGGAGGGGCGGCAGGAGCGAGGGACCTGGCCAGGCCTGGTAGTGACCCCGGGCCCCCTGCTCGGCCCCCGGGCCTCCGCCCCACCCCCCAGCACGGAGCAGGATGTCTGACCAAGCGCATTTTTCTCATTTGAAAAACTGAACTCCAACATTTAAAAATGCAATAGCATAATAGTTGAAGACCATGAAGACACGTAAAGCTTCCCACAGGAGCCCCGTGAGCAGCGTTCGAGCAGCGCAGCCGAGGGCAGGGGCCCCGCGCGGACCGCAGGAGCCGCTCGGCAGCGCCGCCTTTCGTACCTGCGCGGGGGTGTCCGTCTCGTTAATCGGCTGCCCGTCAAACCTGAACCTAATCTGTCTCATCGACAAGCCCTGAAAAGAAAGACCGATTATCATTAGAAATCTCCAGGTGACACGTTCATTCCAGAAAATAAAACACGTATCTCAAAATATTAGGATTCTGAACGAACTTTCGACCCACCCCGTTATTAAAACTCGTCGGTGGCCTACGGGCGTCTCCTGCGCGGCCCAGCAGCCAGCCCAGGCCCGGGCCCGCGTCCTGCCCGCCGCACCCTCACCTCCCTCCAGGGACAGGCTCCGTGTGGCCGGCACCACCCCCCAGAACCTCTGGGCGACAAGCCTTCGGGGACCGGCGAGCCCGGGGTCCCAGCACGGCCTGCGAGCGGGAGGCGGCCCGGGCCGCTGGGCCCAGGGAGGCCGCGGCGGAGCGTCTTCCGTCCAGGCCGGGCTGTGAGCCGCGGGTCCCGGGGCAGGCGGACGTGGCCCGGAAGCCGAGCTTCTCCTTTAGACAGCAATGACGGGGCGCCCGGGGGGCTCAGCGGTGGAGCATCTGCCCTGGGCTCAGGGCGTGACCCCGGGGTCCCGGGATCGAGTCCCACATCGGGCTCCCCGCAGGGAGCCTGCTTCTCCCTCTGCCTGTGTCTCTGCCTCTCTCTCCCTGTGTCTCGTGAATAAATAAAATCTTTAAAAAATAAAATAGAAAGCAATCCCGATTTTACTTAAACAGAACAGGCAGCGTTGAGACTGGCATCTCCGCTCCGCTCCCTCCTGAAAAGATACTTAAACATTCAGGCACGAACGACGAGGATGAAGGGAGCAGGACAGGACTGGCCCTGGGGGAGCCGCAGGGCGGTGGGGACGACCCCGAGGTCGGGGCGGGGCAACACGCGGGGCCCCACAGCCCAGGGGCCCACCCATGGCGTCTGTGCCGCACAGATGAGCACCGACCGACCGCGGAGGCCCCTGGAAGCTGACACGATAGGCCCCACCGGACCCCGACTCGGGCCCCCAGCCGCACGGGCCATGCACTGTCCCCACCACAGGGAAGGTTGGCTTGGAGCCCTGGGCTCAGGACACCAGGGACCAGCCTGGACGCCGGCTGCCCGCCGAGCCCCGTTGCCCCGTCCGGCCGCACCCCCAGGGCAGACGGGCCTGGCAGGTCGGCTCCTGGGAAACCTAGTGACTCACAGGCTGCAACACCTGCGACCCCCCAACCCACCCACCCTGGCAGGCCGCCCCCGCGGGGCAGGGCTCTGTGCCTGCAGCTCTTCGCCAGCTTGCTGGGCGTGGTTCTCGGGCGCGAGCACTTCAGCACGGACGTGGGACCGTGAAGACTCGGATGTGTGAACCGTCCAGCCGGTGAGGAGGAAAGGAAGGGTAGGCGCGGAGGACGGGGCACGGAGGCCACACAGGCACCTGCAACCCTCGGGAACACGGAACACAAGAGGTGGGTGCGGGTGGGAGAGAAAAACCCTCGAAGAACGTGTGGAAACGAGAAGTCACGACAGAAGCAAGACTCTCCACGCAACGTGGGAACCAAGGCTGAAGGGCCCTCCCAGAAACAAGCCCAAGAGCAACCGCAAAGCCCGATGCCGGGTGGGCGGAAACGATCCCGAGCGTCAGCTCCAGGAGGGGTGACAGCAGGGTACACGGCATTCCCAACACGGCGCACGGGACGACAGAGGGCCCGGCATCCCAGGACCGCCCGCCGCGGCCACGTGTCCTCAACAAAAACAAGGGGCGCCTGGTCTGTGACCCTTGACCTCGGAGTTGTGAGTTCAAGCCCCAAGACGGGTGCAGAGATGGATGGATGGATGGATGGATCGGAGGAGGAGAGGAAGGAAGGAAAGAAGGGAAGAAAAGAGAAAAGAAAGAAAAAAAGAAAAAAAGAGAAAAAAGTACCAGGAAAGTGACCGGTACAATCATGCGCCTCCAAGCCCCTGAGAGTGAGGTATTGGGGCCCAAGAACAGATCCCGAAAGCTCCCAGAGAAGAGCAAAGTGACCTCACAGGACAGAGAACCAGAATGTCACTGAACGTCCGCACCAACGCTGCAACAAGAAAAGGACGTGAAGGGCCCAAAAGACAAAAACGAATTTCAACCTGGAAATGGTCGTGCAGCCAACAGTGAAGCGCAAAGGTTTGTGATGGGGAAGTCGCCTGCAGCCCCACGCACCCCAAGGACGCTGCAGAGCAAGACGCTGGAAGACACGCTCCGCGAAACAGGACGAAGCCGGACTAACCCAGAAAATACGTAGGATGGCGCCCAGAGAAGTCTCCGGAAAGACTCGGAGGTGGCTCTGCAAGGACAGTCACACCAGAGGTGCGGCGGGATGGCTTGAAGCACGGGGACACGCCCCCCGCACGGTGCGTGGAGATACGAGCAGTGACTTCACAGGACCTCCCAGAAGACCACGCACGACGGCCAGCAGACCAGCTGGGCCCATGAGACACAAGCCAGACACGAGCTGTCGCCGCGAGCCCACTGCACCGCCCAGCGGACGGCGCCTCCCCGGCAGGACCCGCGCGGCCCAGAGCCATGTCCTGCAGGAACCGGGCAGGGATGCGCGCGGAGGGCTCGTCCCAGAGCAGAGTTTCCACCTCCCGTGGGGAAAATCACCTCGGAAGCCAAACACACGGAGACCCAGGAACAGAGACACCCCGGCCCGGGAAGAACGAGGGAGGTGGCTGCAAGGCTGGCAGGCTCAGCCCGGGGGGAGCAGGGGTGGGGGGGACGGGGACTGGGACGCGGCTCACCCACCACATCGACCACAATACAGCGCCAGGCCTGACAAAGCGTCCACGCAGAGGAACAGGGCGCCCCGGAGCCCACGCCCCCACCACACAGAGACATGTGACGGGCCACCGTGCGGGGGACGCGGGTGGCGCGGAGAGGCCTGGTGTGCGAATGAGGACAAAGGACAGCGAGGTTGGAAGCACCGATGCGTGTGAGCCACATGTCTGTCCAGACGCCGATAACGACAACAAGGACCTGCGGGGACCCGGCCACGGCCGCGATGCTCGTGAGCAAGGGGAAGAATCAAGCCCCCCGTGAGCCCCCAAGGCCGTGTCTCAGTCGTGGCCCAGCTGCGGCACGCAGGAGCGGGGAGACCCACGGCTACTGCGCTGCACCTGCAGGGACGGACTGAGCCACCGCGCTCCCAGCAGCCGCCGGAGGGCACGCCCCACGCTCCCCGCTCGGGGAAGAGCCGGCGGCCTGGCCCGTCCGCGGACACAGGGCTGATGCTCTGACGGCAGAAGGAAACGGCCACCACGGATGAGCACGCACACGCAGGCACACACACACATGCACACACCGAGGGACGAGTACACACATGCAGGCACACACACACGCACAGGGACGAGCACACGCACAGGGACGAGCACACACGCAGGCACACGCACACAGGAGCACCCCGCGCACACGCGCCCCCGGGCAGCCCCGTGGCCCGCAGGCCCCCAGGGCACAGGCGCACCTGCCTCTCGCAGTAGGCCTTCATCAGCTTGCTCAGCGGCGTGTGCCTCTTGATCTTGAACTGGACCACGGAGCCGTCCTGCCCGGCCACCTTCAGGTTGATGTGGTCGTTCTCCGTCTTCACCCCCTCCTGCAAGGACACGGACACCGGGTCTCAGCCACCGGCCGCCGCGCTCCAGGCGGCGGGGTGGGAGTCCCAGCGATGACCCCTCCCGACTCCCCCGCAGCCCGGGGTCGCGCACACGAGGGCTTCACGTCCATGCAGAATGAACCCCTCTGGTGGGCGGGCGCGTGCAGGGGCACAGCATACACCTACGGAGGCTTCGGAGGGAAAAACCCACTTAGGGACTCTCGAGAAACCCCAAAGCCCTCCTTGTTAGGAGAGGACGGTGCACACACACGCCCGCAGGCAGGCACACGCCGGGCGAGGATGGGGGGGGCAGGCCCCATGGAGGATGGGCAGGCCAGGGGCGCCTCCCCCCGCCCCCTGCAGCGGTCCCACCCCGGTGGCATCTCTGACACTTGTGATGCTGTCCGAGCCCCAAAACATCGTGACTTGGGCGGCACAGGGCCCGGAAGCACAGCTGGAATGAAGCAAGGAGCTGGGGTTCAGGACGGTGGGCCCCCCGGGGCGCCCGGGTCCCAAAGCCGGATTCTGGGAGGTGCGGGAGGGGCACCCAGGGCGGCTCCTGCGGGCTCGGCCACCTCGCTTAGCTGGCGCCGCCAGGGAAGGCGGGAGGCTGTACTCTGAGCGGACGATCCAGCTGGCCCGAGTCCTTTTGGACATAGAGTGCGCCTGTCCCCGTCACACGTGCCCACCTCTCTGGGCCACGCCCTTGGGGTGGGGAGCCCGTGGGGGGAGCCGACCCGAGAAGCGGCCCCGGGAGGCAGGACCCCAGCAGGACCCCCGCCATGAGACAAGATCGCCCTCCACGGCCGTGCAGGCACCAGCGGGCCCCCCCACCGTGACTCCGCCGTGGGCAACGCGCGGGGACCGGGGCAGCACCCCCTTGCTCCCCGGAGATGAGGTGTCCATACTTGCCGTGCCTTTTTTTCAAATAAAGGCTTCATTTTGTACATTTAGAGAAGTGTACGTTAAGAGAAAACGCGCAGCCATCGGGGCCGGGGGTGCGCACGGCCCTGGGCCAACACCCCGCGCCACACGCCACACTGCCCCTGCCGCCCAGGCCAGCGCCGCTGCAACACCGGCAGTGGGACTCCGAGCCTCCCTGACGTGTCGCCAAGTTTTCCACTATCGTCCTGTTCCTGTTCCAGGATCCAAACCAGGCGACCGCCTTTATATCTACTTAGAGATATTATTTTTTTCCCAACGTTTCTGTGTTAACGTGAACCTAGCGTAAAAGCCACCACTTCACCCCCTTTGGCTGGTCTGAACGTCCTACAACCTTCACCAAGTCCATCTCCAGAACCCCGTTCACCCTGCAGGACTGAACCTCTGTGCCGTTGAACCCAACCACGTCTCCCCAGCACCCCCCCCCATTCCTTGTCTCTGTGATAGTGACTCCTCTACAGATCCCATAAAAGTGGATCACACAGGGATCCCTGGGTGGCTCAGAGGTTCAGCGCCGCCTTCAGCCCAGGGCGTGATCCTGGAGACCCGGGATTGAGTCCCACAGCGGGTTCTCTGCATGGAGCCTGCTTCTCCCTCTGCCTGGGTCTCTTATGAATAAATGAGTAAATCTTAAAAAAAAAAAAAGTGGATCACACAGTATTTGTCCTTTTGGGACTGGCTTATCTCACGCAGCATGACGTCCTCAAGGTTTGACCGTGGCATGGCTGGGGTCAGGGTTCACTGCCCTGCCGGGGCCGAGTACCACGCACGGCGTGGGTGGGCTGTGTCGCCATCTGTCCACGGACACGGGGTGACTTCCACAGTAATGCTGCGGTGAGCCTGGGTGGACAAGTATCTCCTGGAGATCCCACTTTCTGATCTCGGGGGCAAATACCGGGAAGCAGGACTGCAGGTCCATATGCTACTTCTAGTTTTTAGGAACACCGGCACTAACTCTGCGCTGACCGCCCGCTTTGCCTCCCCGCCCAGCGTGAGTGTGTCCGGTGTGGGAAAGCACCACCCCGTGGGTGGGAGCTGGTGTTTTACCGCACTTTGATCTGCGATTCTCTGCTCAGTGGTGGGCGAGCGCGTTCCGTGCGCGTGTGGCCACGTGTGCACCTCCTCTGGAGAGGCGCCCGTTCGAGAGCGTGTCCGGTTGTGAACACAGTTCTTGTTGGCTCGGAGTGTGAGCGGCGCTCTAGGCTCTCTGGGCAGCAGCCCGTGATCAGAGACGGAGTCGCAAACCCCCCTCCCTCTGGGCGGTGGCTGCTGCCCCCGTGATGGAGCCTCGGGCTGCACAAGCTCCAGGTCCGCTGTGCTCTGGTGGCCTGGCCTCTGCTGTCACATCCAGGGTCAGGAAGGCCCGTCCTACGTTGTGTCCTAAGAGCTTCACTGCTCTAGTCTCAACACTTAGGCCCCTGAGCCCCTCTGACTTGCCTCTTGTATACGGTGTAAGGTAAAGGTCCAGCTTCATTCTTCTGCACGTGGGTAGAGACACTATCTGCTTTTTCAACAAAAAGATACGAGTGTGCCAAAACGCACGGATACGGGGCTGGAACGCAGAACGGGCACACGGGGCAGTGGCCACAGGGCAGCGGGAGGCGGCAGGCAAAGACCACCACGAGCCCCTCTCCCTAGGGAAGGACACTGGGAATGGCCTGTCCCGGGCCCCCAGAGGGCAGGAGTAAAGGAAAAGCAACACTGACCACAAATCACTAGGGTCCCCCTGCATCAGCTACCCAGAGGCGGCAAGGGCTGTCCCCAACTGCCCCCCAGGTTTTCCTCCCACCAGCAGGACGGCCTGGGATGCCTGCTGCCCTCCTGTCCAGCTCCCCGAGCTCGGGAGGCGCAGCCTGTGCTCGGCTTCCCCGACGGCTGGCATGTGGCAGGCGGCCCCGCAGTTCAGGGCAAGCGCGCTCAAGACGTCACGCTGCTCCATTTCCTGCAGTTAAGCCTCCGCAAAAGGAAGCCCCCAGAAACCCGCACAGGCACCTGCACAGGCACCCGCACAGGCACCAGTACGTGCCCTGGATGAACAGCAACCCGAGAGAAGAACGGGCACAGGCTGAGCGGAGGAGGGCAGGGCAGCTGCAATCGCATCCGCAGTGAGGACACGGTCCTGGAGCGTGACCTGAGATCGCAGCAAGCCCCGCGCCAGGTCCCGAGGGTCCACCCCACCCCGCTCGACCCCCGTGTGTCCCCAGGGCCCCGAGGCTCCAGGCTCAGTGCCCAGGGGGCACAAGCTCCACTATCACAAGAAACCCATGTCCGAAGTACTCGACTCCGCTGAGTTGCCGCTTGGCAAAATGTAAGCGCCCAAGACGTAGACCCAAAGCTTCAAATACCTGTTTTTAATAAGAGCAGTTAACGTAACGTCAGACCTTGCTAAGAACGGCCTGGCCTGCGAACGGCCTCCGTGAGGAGCACACCCCAGAGGGCCCAGAAAGGAGGGATGAGCTCAAGTCCAGAAGACAGCAGGGGAAGGTGACAGGCGGGGGGCGCACGGGGGGGGGGGGGGGGGGGGGACGGGCAGGGGGCGCACGGGGAGGACGGCGGGGAGGGGACGGGCAGGGGGCGCACGGGGGGACGGCGGGGAGGGGACGGGCAGGGGGCGCACGGGGGGGGGGGGGGACGGCGGGGAGGGGACGGGCAGGGGGCGCACGGGGGAGACGGCGGGGAGGGGACGGGCAGGGGGCGCACGGGGGGGACGGCGGGGAGGGGACGGGCAGGGGGCGCACGGGGGGACGGCGGGGAGGGGACCGGCAGGGGGCGCACGCGGAGGACGGCGGGGGGCGCACGGGGAGGGGACGGGCAGGGGGCGCACGGGGGGGACGGCGGGGAGGGGACGGGCAGGGGGCGCACGGGGGGGACGGCGGGGAGGGGACGGGCAGGGGGCGCACGCGGAGGACGGCGGGGGGCGCACGGGGAGGGGACGGGCAGGGGGCGCACGGGGGGGACGGCGGGGAGGGGACGGGCAGGGGGCGCACGGGGGGGACGGCGGGGAGGGGACGGGCAGGGGGCGCACGGGGGGACGGCGGGGAGGGGACGGGCAGGGGGCGCACGGGGGGGGGACGGCGGGGAGGGGACGGGCAGGGGGCGCACGGGGGAGACGGCGGGGAGGGGACGGGCAGGGGGCGCACGGGGGGGACGGCGGGGAGGGGACGGGCAGGGGGCGCACGGGGGGACGGCGGGGAGGGGACGGGCAGGGGGCGCACGGGGGGGGGACGGCGGGGAGGGGACGGGCAGGGGGCGCACGGGGGAGACGGCGGGGAGGGGACGGGCAGGGGGCGCACGGGGGGGACGGCGGGGAGGGGACGGGCAGGGGGCGCACGGGGGGACGGCGGGGAGGGGACGGGCAGGGGGCGCACGCGGAGGACGGCGGGGGGCGCACGGGGAGGACGGCGGGGAGGGGACGGGCAGGGGGCGCACGCGGAGGACGGCGGGGGGCGCACGGGGAGGACGGCGGGGAGGGGACGGGCAGGGGGCGCACGGGGGGGACGGCGGGGAGGGGACGGGCAGGGGGCGCACGGGGGGGACGGCGGGGGGGGACGGCGGGGGGCGCACGGGGAGGACGGCGGGGAGGGGACGGGCAGGGGGCGCACGGGGGGGACGGCGGGGAGGGGACGGGCAGGGGGCGCACGGGGGGGACGGCGGGGGGGGACGGCGGGGGGCGCACGGGGGGGACGGCGGGGAGGGGACGGGCAGGGGGCGCACGGGGGGGACGGCGGGGGGGGACGGCGGGGGGCGCACGGGGAGGACGGCGGGGAGGGGACGGGCAGGGGGCGCACGGGGGGGACGGCGGGGGGGGACGGCGGGGGGCGCACGGGGGGGACGGCGGGGGGGGACGGGCAGGGGGCGCACGGGGGGGACGGCGGGGAGGGGACGGGCAGGGGGCGCACGGGGGGGACGTGATGGAGAGGCGGACGCACCCTCGGAGAACCGCGACAGCGACGCGACCAATAAGGGAGGGGAGCGCACACGGGAGGCCCGACGGGAAGCTGGGAGCCCCCGCGGCCGCAGCGCAGCGGGACCCGCGGGGAGGACGGCGGGGGCGGGGCGGGGGCTCCGGGGGGGGGGCGGGGGCGGGCAGCAGCGCCGCAAGGGCTCCGCGGAGAGGCGGGGAGCGGCGCGGCGCTGGGAGCCAGGGGTGCTGGGGTGCACGGCGGGGCCGCGGAGAGGACCCGGACCCGGTCGCGGAGGGGGGAGGGGAGCGGGGAAGCGAGCGGGAGGCGGTCGGGGCCCCGGGACGGCGGCCCCGCCCCCGCCCCCCCCCACGGCTGCTTCATAGGCCCGCCCGGCCGGGCTCCCGGGAGGGGCGGGGCGGGGCCTGGGAGGGGCGGGGCCTAGCCGCGGGGCGGGGCCTGGGCGGGACGCGGGGCGGGGCCGGGAGAGGGGCGGGGTCTAGCCGCGGGGCGGGGCCGGGGTGGGACGCGGGGCGGGGCCGGGGCGGGGCGCGCCGCGGGGCGGAGCCGGGCCGGAGGGGGAGGGGAGCGGCGCGCGGGGGGAGGGGCGGGAGGCCCGGGGCGCGGGGCAGCCCCGCAGACGCCGCCTGCGCCCGGCTCCAGCACCCCGAGGTCGCGGAGGGCGCCGGGCGCGGGCCGGGGGCGGCGGGGGCGGCGGGGGCGGCACGGGCGGGGGTGGCCGGGGTCCCGGCCGGCGCCGCGCCCTTACCTTGGGCTTCTCTTCGGACATGGCTGCGCGGCGGCGGGAGCGGCGGGGAGGCGGGCGGCGCGGGAGCGGGCGATCAGGCTCTGGGCCGCCGCTCTCCCGCCGCAACTGCTCGCGGGGCCGCGCTTTGCCCCCGAATCCCTGCGCGCCGGTTGGCTGCCGAGGGGTCACGTGGCGGCCGCGCGTGCACGAGGCGCGTGCCCAGGGCGTCGGGCGCGCGCCCGGCCGGGCCGAGGTTCCCGGGGTCGGGAGTGCGTCACGCGCGGGCCCGACGGCGGGGAGCTGGGGCGCGGGGCGGGGGCGCGGGCGGGGGCGCGGGCGGGGGCGGGGGCGAATGCAGGACCAGGGCGCGCTCAGGGCACCGAAAGGATGAGGAGGGGAAGGGGTTGTTGGCGCTCAGGACCCCGGAGCCCGGGGGCCGCCCATGGGGGGCCAGCGACAAGGACGAGCGATCCTGCCCCTCCCCGTGTCCTGGCCCTGGCCCTGCTCCCTCCCCTGCTCTGCGCGGCCAAACCCAGGGGCACCCACTCGTTTCCCAGGTGAGGGGCATCGTTCAGAGGAAAAGGAAGCTGGAGACCCGTGTGCTGGACCAGCCGGTGGTCGCGGTGGTCACCGGGGACCTGGGAAGGCAGCCCCGCTACGGATGAGGTGCCGCTGGCCCTGGGGGAGCCACGTGTCCAGTTGGAGGACCCGCGGGGGGAGGAAGGTGCTCCAAGGCCGCCCACCTACCCGCTGGGGGGCCTGTGCTGGTTTAGCAAGGTGCCCCGGGACCTCCCAGGCCTGGCCCTTCCCCGGAGCTCCAGGTGGACAGAGGCCTGGGGAAGGCCTTCCCCCTGGGGCCACTGGTCTCAGGGTGGTGCCAGCTTCACCCCGAGCCGGTTCCCCGTGTCCCCTGGCCAGTCCCGATCGTGGCCTGAGGCTGGCAAGCAGAAGCCGTGCACCTGCCGGGGGGCCGCTGTGGGCGCACGAGGCTGTGCTGTGACCGCCTTCCTGATGTTTCTGGAATACACGCTACGCAGCAGAAACTAAGCACACAGAGAGTCTGAGTAAGACTGTTAATTACATATTAGGTCTCTAAGAGAACGTCATGGACGTGTAACCAGTCGTCCAGGGGGCAGGGTCCTGCCGAGGAGCACGAGGCTCGAACAATCATTCTCCCAGTCTGCAAACGAGATGCTGGACAACCTGTAAAGCCACAGCTTTTCTGAAACCATCAGGGAGCCGGGCCGGCTGCACCCCGTGTTTATGTCCCGAACCCCCCCCCCACCGGCCTGCTTCCACTGAGGCTGAGTCCCCGCACAGCTGCCCTCCTCCGCGCCAGTGCCTGACGCCCCTCCTGCGGTTTGGGAAGATGTTGAAGGTGTCCCTGGAGAGGACACGGATCCCTGTAAAAGTCCCACCCAGACCCAAGGACATGAGGCCTGCATAATGGTGGGACTGGACCAGGGCAACAGAGTCCCAACCCCCCCCCCACGCACACACACGTGTGTACACTCACACACCCCGCGCCAGGACAGCCAGCACCAAGGAACACGCTGAGTGCTCTGTGACCAGTCCCAGGGAGAGACGTCGCCAAGCTAGGGGTGCACAGGGGAGCCCGAGAGCCGAAGGTGGGGCAGGAACATGGAGAAGCTGCCTCCGGCAGACCATCTTCCAGCCTCAGCACGTGATGCCAGAGGAATGTGTGTCAGCGGACGCGAGAGAAGCCACAACCACAGAACCCGGAGCCCCGACGCAGCCCCTCCGCCGGCAGCCACGCAGGAGGACTGCCCTTTGCCGGAGAGGAATGCCGGGACCTCCGCGTCTGCCGTCCTCCAGATGACATCTGTCTTTCAGGAAACAATTACAAGGACACACACAAAAAGAGGGGAAAAAAACCCGCAATCAAGACAGGAAGATCAAAACCAGAATCAGACAGGACCTGGAAGCTAGATTGTCTGGCAGGATTCGTGTTCAGGCTCCTGCGGGGAAGGTCAGCGACACGAAGGGAGGGGCTGGGAGCAAGGGCCCCGGGAAGCGCCCGCCCGCAGACACGCGGAGGAAGCATGCCTTCCATGGCTCGTTCCACGGCCCGTGGACACAGGAGGGAATCTGGACTTCCCACTAAGTCCAGGAATCTGCCGAGTAGAACAAAGAGGAGAAACGCGAGGGAGCCGGGGAAACGGAGCCAACAGAAGCCCTGCCACCAACCCTCTCCGAGGGTCTAAGGCACCGTTGGAGCGATAGAGGACAGAAGGGGCAGGACAAACGTTTGCTAAGGGCCTTCTGCGAATAAGACATCACAGCCCAGATCCAGGCTCAGAAAACCCACCCAGGGTTTCCACATCTACGAGGCGCCAGGGCACAGCCTGGTGGAAGCTGGTGCAAACCACACCTGACATCCGCAGGCCGGCCGGGCCCAGCCGCCGGGGAGCCAGAACCAGAAGGACCTCACGTGTTGCAGGACCGGTGAGCCCGAGGACAGCGAGGACGGTGAAGGGACGGACCCCCGCAGGACTTGTGCTCACGTGCCTAGGCCCTAGGCCCTAGACACGCACCTTCCCGAACCGAAGCCGAGGCGCCAGGCGCGGGCGAGGTGGGGCAGGCAGCTGTCGAGGCCCCGGGAGTCTGTGGGCGCGGGCCGCAAGGGGAGCCCGGACTTCAAGACGTTCAAGGATTCCTCCTCTTGCGCCTGTCAGCTCAGGCCTGGGGACGACCCAGCGTGGCGGGGCTCACCACCTGCAGAACCTTCGAGGGAGATCCTGTCCCCCCAGCTGGGGAAGAAGACCCTGCACCCCGAGGCACGGGGTCGAGTGCCAGGGCCCGGCTCTGGTTGTCTGCTTCTTTGCTCACCCCGTCCTCTCCCAGAGCCCCCCGTCAGGGGGCTGCACCCAGCAGCAGGAAGGCCAGTGAGGCCTCATGGGAACCCCATCTTTCTGGCCCCACAAACCGGGGCACGGGGACCTGTGGTCCAGAGAGTGGGCGGCGCGGCGGCTGCGCGTCCCCCCTGCTGAGCCCCCGGGGCAGCCACTGGCAAAAGCTCCCCGGAGAGCCCACCTTTGTACCTGAGGACCTGCAGAAGGGGCCCCCGGGGGCTTGCGAGCGTGTGTCACCCGCAGGCCGCGGGGGGCTGGGGCCGCGTCCCCTCACTGTGCGGACGGACGCACCAGCAGTCCCAGGCCCGCACCGAGCAGGGTGTGTGCAGGCGGACCCAGCGCGCCCCACCCGGGGTCTCCGCAGCGTGTCTGTCCCTGCCCGCGGACACCAGCACCCAGACTCCACGGCTTCTCGGGCCAAGGGACTCCGAGCTGCAGCGGCCACAGCAGTCCGACAGGGAAACAAAGTGAAGTGAGTCCCCGTGCCTGCTTCTCACTTCGCGGGAATCCCCCCTCCTCAAAGGGCAGAATGAGGGAGGCGAGCGAGCACCAGAACAGACCCACGGGGGCGCCTGGGGGGCTCAGGGCGTGGTCCCGGGTCTTGGGATGGGGTCCCGCATCAGGGCCCCGCTCAGTGGGAGTCGCTGCTCCCCCTCCCTCACCCCTCCCCCATCGCATGTGCGTGGGCTCACGTGCTCGCGTGCTCCCTTTCTCTCTCACATAAATACATAAAGTATTAAAAAGAGGGGGGCAGGGAGAAGCCCCGGGAGCTGCACCACCCGCCCCGCTAACGGGACGGTAACCAGAGACAGCACACCTCTAGGAGCGCGGCTGGGACGCGTGCACCAGCCAGGGCGTGGAAGACGGGGGTCCCCCGGCGCCGTGAACTGAAGTGTGACCCCCCAGGAGTCACAGGTGGAAGCCCGAGCACCGACACCTCAGAGCGTGGCCTTATGTGGAGACAGGGCCTTTGACGAGGTGATAGGTGAAAAGGCGCGGGTGCCCGGGGGCTCCGGGGGGTGAGTTCCCTACTCTTCCTTTCAGCTCAGGTCATGACCTCGGGGTCGGGAGATCGAGCCGTCAGGCTCCGTGCTCAGCACAGGCCGCTTGTCCCTCTCTCTCTGCTCCTCTAATGAATACATGAAATCTTCAAAAAATAAAAAGGATGGGTGGGCCCTACCCCAGGGTGAGAGGGGTCCTCCAAGAAGAGGACACGTGCCCGTCTCCCTGACCCGCCCTGCCCCGTCCTGGGGGCCGTCGGCCGCCAGCACCCGGAGCAGCGCACGTCTGACGTTCAGATCACCCGGGGGGGGGGGGGTGGCAGCCGAAGCACACGGATGCGCCCACGAGCCTTGGCGTCGGGTGCCCCAAGCCCCGCTGTGGGCCACCCGACACCCATTAGGCGGCGATGCCGAGGGCAGTGAGGCTCGGTGGCCGTGGCCCTGGCCCCACACAGGCTGCGCCCGGGTCTCCCAGTCCTGGCGGCAAACGGCCTCACGGTGGGGACTTGCCCACTGTTACTGGAGGTGACGGTGACATCAGCCTGAGCTCACAAGGCCTGATGGGGACAGAAGGCTGGATGCTTCGTCAGCGCCTGTGTGGCCCAGGGCAGGCGCCGAACCCTTCCCCCCTTGGGGCCGTGCCAGCAGGTGCCCTCCCGGGGGGCTGGCCGCCCGGGGCGTGTGGGAAGGTCCCCCAGAGGGACGGTCACTGCGCAGTGCCCTGAGCGCCGTGGACGCTGGGCTGCCACACTTGGGGGCCTCTTTGGATTGCGGGGGTGACCCGGTCCACATGTGGGCGTGCTGCTCTGACCCACACACGGGGTCACCCTTAGGCCGCCACTCCTGGGCGGGGCCCGGAGCGCACGGAAGCTGGAGCTGCCTGCCCGGGGCGCCCTGTAACCCCGCGGACCTCGGGGTTTGGGAAGCGTGTGCGCCTTCGGGCAGGTCCCCGGAGGAGAACCACACGGAGACCATCCCCCGGGGGTAAGGCTTCGCCCTCTCCCCTTGAAACGCGGCTCCTCGCTTGCTAGCAGGCACTGGGGGCTCCCGCCCTGCCTCCCAGCCCAGGCAGGGGTCACGTCCCTCCGGCTGTCAGATGCCTGGGGCATTGTGGTCGATGCACTGGCACGGAGCTCTAACCTCGGGTGCTCCCCGAGTCACTCCACGGCCCACCCACGGGAAACACGGTCCTGGGGAGGAGCGCAGGAGCACAGACCCCAAGAGGACCACTCTTCCCCCCACCCTCTCTGAGATTTCCTGGGGGAGCCTTTGCCTCTCCCCACCAGCCAGCCCG